ATTTTTTTGGTCGATTGAATTTTATTCTCCAAAGAAAAAAGTTTTAAAATAACCTTTATAAGAAGAATAAAATAAAAAAACACCTTAAAAGTAAACTTTTAAAAAGAACTCGGATCTTTGATTTTAAACTTTTTTTAGTCCAGAGAAATAGTTTAAGAAAGGTGATATATGCCGGGAATTAAGAAACGGATAATGGCTGGAGTGAGAAGAAATTTTTCTTGATAAAGACTTTTGAAATATCGAGGGGTGAATTGTTTTTGAGTTAAGATACATATCACTGAGAAAACATAAAATCCAATCTAAATTGGATTTTTTATTTAAATAACTTTTATAATTTTCCTCAAGCCGACAAATAATAGCTTCTTGAGTCTTATAATAAAATTATATTGTTTCGTGGAAAATGAGCTTGCAATATAAATCTGGAAAACAACCGGGTTTTCCAAAAACTCATAACATTTTAACAATTCATTATCTTTTAATTAATCTTTAATGTATTTTCATGGTACTAAAGTCTGAATAAATTGGAAAATTTCAAACTTTATTATATAAATGCTTCTAAAGTGGGTTTTTCTGTCATTGTTCACTTTTTGTGAGATTTTAAGCTTGGTAAAAAATTGGCAAGTCATACTTTTGTACTTATCGAATCTTTTGAAGCTGGAGAATACTTTATAAAGTCTGTGATTTTTTTTTTTCTATAAGAAATTTAATACAAAAAATTTATTTTGTACTTAATTAATTTTATTTTTTTATTATGATTTAATAATGTAATAAATTTTGAAAAGCTCAGAAAATTCTTGAGTCGTTTACCAAAAATTGACAATTATTTACTCAGAGTTGGTCCAAAGACAAACTCTTAACTCATTAAATACTAGTTAACAAGGTAATGATCAAAAACAGAACTCGGTAAGATAAGATGAAACTTTGGAGGGAAATCAGAGAAACTGTAACTAAATAATCTAGAGTGTCATTTTATTATCTCTGATAAGGATAAGATAACTCACCTCGCTTTACCGGAGTGTCTTTTTTGTCTGGTTACCACCGCATTCCATTTAACCCTCGTTATTCGGGCGATAAATCCCGAGATTTTATGCCGAGATTACGCGAAATCATTTGCAATCACACCCACCTTGTTATTTTAGAAATTGAATAAAAAGCTCTACTCACAGTGAGGCGCTCATTAATTTATGGGGTTTTCTCTTGGCGGAAAATGTATGACAATGAAATTATAGTTTTAAAAGTAAAATAATGTTTGCATTAGGGATAAATCATGCGGAATATTTCATTGAGAGTTCGCCGGTAAATATGATGAATTACTTTACGAGATGATACGTCATGTTTATTTGACAAGTACAGTCCCGAAGTCTATTTCCGGGTAGTAATATTGCACCTGCTTTTCTCAAAGGATTCTTCTGATATAATGACATTTCTCGATCAGTTATAAATACTTAATTCTTTATAATTATAATGTTTTTTTTTTAATTTTTTTGATTATCAATTTTTTAATATTTTTTAGATTGCTTTAATTGGGTAAATATTTAAAAAAAATTTCTACTTTTAGATCTTTAATGTTTTATCTAGAATTAAAGTTAAAAAAATAAATAATAACAAAAAAAAAAAAAAAATTATTGACGCAATTAAATCATAAACCGAGAATAAAATTTTTTTTAATAAAATCTGTCAGGGAAATAAATTAAAAATGTCAATCAATAATTTTAGACATTTTACAAAAAAAATATATATATAGTTACACTAAAAACCAACAATTTTTCTCGGTTAAATAAATTACTACGATCTGGAAGCTCCTGACATATCCATATTATTGTTTCCATCTGATGAATGTCTATATTTGAGTTGATGTATGCGGAAACATTAATTACACATATATACATATATTCATACATTCATATATATTCATAAATCGTGTATCGCTCATGTTGACATTCGGTATATATTCATATACCTATACAATTCCGAGGATATGACTCGCGGTCAAATAGCTTCTTGGTTGTTGCTCTCGAATGAGATTCGCTGGAGGCGTCGCCGTTGCAATTACTATCAAAGATAAATTACGTGCAAATACAGATGACAAATTGCCTGATTAATTAATCAGTTATCTAATTTAATATCACTAAGAATGACAAACGAAAAAAATAAAAAATTCGAGAGTTTATTTACTCAATTAAGAAATAAAATATTTATATAACTTACAACTTAATAACAAATAATTAACTTAACATTTTATTACGTATACATTTCATATATTTTTACATTTTATATATCGTTTATTGTAAGCGTACACTCCCCAGTTACTCCCACGTAAATATTTAATATATTAATTTAAATATATTTAATGAGACACATTTTTGAAAATGTTATTGATGTATTTAAATAAACAGTTCAATAATTAATTAATTATTTAATTAATATTTCTTTACAACAACAAGTTTTTTATTAAACTTCAAATATTGTCAAGTGATATGAATTAATAATAATAATAATACGGTAAATTTCCAGTTGCTCTTGACAACCCTCGACTCCTTTCATTTAATCCCTGTTTATTTTTATCCGTCATCCTCAGTAATCCATTCACAAGCAATTAAATCTTAGAATCGAAAATAAAAATTCATTTTTAATTAAACCATCGTTACTTTTAAATTTACAATTTAACTTTCACCAATTTCGAGGTTAAATAAATGCGGCATTGATTTATTATTTTTCTACAAACACACGATGAATATGCGATTAAAAAAACAGTTACAACAGTAGTAAAAACGTATACATAAGATATTTCCTTTGACAGGATAAACACTAAAGGATTAAGGGTGTTAATATTTTATTATTTATTTTCATACTCCATTTAAAAGCTCCGTTTATATACTGCGCTGTTTTATTTATTATTATTATTATTATTATTATTATTATTATTATTATTATTATTATTATTATTTTATTTTCTTACATTTAATTAATTTTATTATTTATTAGTATTGGTTTTATTTATCGATATTTCTACTCGAAAAACATTCCATTTCATTCCACAATTTTTATTAAAACCTCTTTAAGTCGCTTGGAAAAAAATTTGCTAATATTTACAATTATTTTATTTACAAAATGAAATTCATCAATTCCAAATTTTTAGCACCTTAAAAATTAATAAAAGTTTTTTTAATTAACATCAACAATAAATTTAAAATTTAAGCTTCGTCTAGGTTTTTTCTCGAATCCCAAACTAAAAAAAAAAAAAGACGCCATTCGGCCATACCCAAAATGGAAGGTAGATTTCATAGAATGAATTATCGTCTTGTCTCAATAACTTTTGTTTAACATGGATAGGTTGTATTACACATTGCCTGAAAATAGTTCAATTGAAGTCTTAACTTCGATAAAATAACTAATAATGGTCAAAAAGTTAACATTATATACGTCAAATAAGAAGTGTTTTTATGAGTTTTCGAGTAAATTTATCAAAAATGAGCTATCTTTTTGCTATTAAAAGTTATACATAAATGAAGTCACCGAAAACGTAATTTTTCCTATTTTGATCATTTTGAAGAGCTACTATTTCTGAACTAATCGAAGGATTTCGCTCATTTTAAGGCTCATGCAAGCTAATTGTCAAATGAATTTGTATACTAAATTTCATTGGGATCTGTTACGAATTCTCGACAGAATAACATTCATAAGTCGGCTGCACTACACATTGCCTGAAAATGGTTCAGTCAAACTCTTAACCTTGATAAAATAACTAAAAATGGTAAAAATGTCAATGTTATATACGTCAAATTAAAGGCAATTTCATGAGCTTTTACATGAATTCATCAAAAATTAGCCATCTCTTTTCAACCAAAAGTTATACATTAATGAAGTCACCGAAAACGTGATTTTCACTATTTTGATAATTTTGAAGAGCTGGCATTTCTAAACTTATCAATGGATTTCGCTCATCTTCGAACTCATTCAAGGTTATTATCCAAAGAATATGTGTAACAAATTTCATCTAGATTCGACAAGAACTGTAAACACAATCGCGGCAACATCCCGCGTTATATTACATATGTATAAATACATACATATATAAATTTTTTAACTAACGTTATTTTTGAGCTTCACTCGATTAGTTAAGTGATATTACGACAAAATTCTGAGTGAATTCCGACATGAGGACCAATGCAATAGATTGATTTCTATGAAATCTACCTAAAAAAATAATTATAAATCTATTTACACCAACAATTATATTAAAAGATATTTTAATAATTCATTCAGACTTTTATCAATTATTTATCTTGTAAAAAATTTCAAATATAATAAAACAGTACTATTTTATTTATTTTGAACATATTATACAGCTATATCAAATATATATTTGTATATCACACATCTAATGATCTAAGTCTAAACAACTAACGATTGTTCAGTGCTTAAAAACTCCACGTAAATTTTATTTTTACTTACAAGTAAATTTTTTTATAAATTTTTATTATGATAAAAAAATTAACTTGATTCAAGAGAAAAAAGAAATTTTTTATAAAAATATATTTTTAAAAATTGTAAATAAATTTTTAATGGTATCAAATTTTTTTTTTTTTATATAAAAAAATCAAAAAATTTATTTATTCAAGATCTTTTTTTTTTTCTTTATTATAATTTTCTAATTTAAATATTAGATCAACAATTCATAGATAATGTGATGATTTTTTTTTAATTTTAAATGAATTAAAAAAAAAATTTAACCAAGTGAAATTTAAAATAATAATCTTGTTTAAAAATTTTTTCTCCCGAACAAAGTCAAATAATTTATCAATGTCTCAAAAGAAAAAAAAAAAAAAAAAAAAAACTGCAGATGCAAAAATATGACCGAGATTCAACGTTATGACGAAAAAGTCGATAGCATAATAAAGAATAAGGGAAAGGAAAATCAAGAAAGCAGGAAAGGGTCGACAGGAAACATATCGCCTACTTCCCGTCTTTAACGATCACGTGAGCTGTCAGTAACGAGTTCACCAGTCCAAGTCGAGTGTGAGTGTTGGTAAATGTCTGTACGAAAAGAAAAAAAATAAAAAAACTAAATGTAATTATCTAAAAGGGCAACCGAGAGTGTCACACGTGAGTAACGACAAGCTCAGGCTGCCTGGGCCGCTCCTACCTGACGGGTCGCCAAGCAGGCTTGCGATACCGGCAGAGCAGAACGCTTTTAAAAGCCTGTCGGAAGATGTTGTTGAAGATCGTGTAGAAGACAGGATTCACCATAGAGCTGGAGTACCCGAGCCAGGTCGCGATGTCGAAGATCTTCTTGTCGATCCGCTTCTCGCAAGCGGGACAGATGGCCGGCACCAGGTTCAGCACAAAGAATGGCGCCCAGAGGATCACGAAGGTGAAGAAGACCACCCCGAGGACCTTGGTCGCCTTCTGCTCGATCCTGATCACGTTCCCCCGATTCGAGCTGTTCCTCGACATCACACTGCTGTTCCGCGAGTGCGGAGTTCTCACTCCTGGATATCGCAGCAAGCACGGGGATGAAGAGTTTGAACTTCTGGAGAGCGACGTCGCTCCGTTGTGCGCCTTCATGGTCACTGCTCGCCTCAGAGGCGTCGGACACGACGAGGTCAGAACTGTCCGAGTACTTCCTGCAATTTAAAGAATGGTTGCAATTTTATGGATGTCAAGAAAGAATGCGTCATTTTCTTCGGGGAAGTACTTAGCAAGGGTTTAAGTTTTTCAATGGAATAAAATGAGAGCTTAAAAGCTTTTTGCTATTTTTTAGAGGGTTTTTTAAAATAGTTTATTATCCCTACTTAAGTAATGCTGAAGTTTCTTTCAACAAGCTATTTTAAAACAGTGACAATTTTTAGTTTTTTTCATAAATTTTGTTGTATGAAAGAAATTTGCACTCTAAATTAATAATTGTTTGTTAGTATTTAGAACAAAAATTATTTTAATCATACTTTACATAAAAACTTGTTGATTATCAATTATTTTTTATTTCATCACAAATTTTTCTTAGCTAAGCTTTAGCTCCTAACCTTGGAAAAAAAAAAAAAAAAAAAAAAAAAAAAAAAAAAAAAAAAAAAACAATGATTTTTCAATCATAAAAAGTTTAAACACAATTTTCAATAAACGTTAAAAGAACTAAAAACTTAGCCAAAAGTTTAAGTAAAAATTCATAGTAAAATTTGTCAGCTTGGGAGAAAACTTAGATAGTCTAATTTAAAATGAAATTGAAAAAGTAAAATGTATATGTAAATTCACAACAACAAAACTATTATACCGAGTAATTTCTAAAAGAACATTCTTTATTAAATTTATTTAAAGCAACAGGAATAATTACTTGAACTAAAAGTTTGAGCTTGGAATCTTGAAGAAAAAAAAAAAGTTTTAATAACTCACCAATACTAGAACCTCGCCTATTGCCTTTCCACGTGACTATAGAATTGGATCCCTCAAAAGTTTTGTTATTTTCCGGCCTCTGACTTTTTCCCGCGACAGTGAGATTCTTGGCAGCGATAGGCTTGAGGCTGTCGCTGGAGACGATAACGACCTCTCCAGAGTTTACGGGGGGTTTCTTGGAGGACTCCCCGAAGTAGGGGCAGGTGCAAGGGGGCGGAAGACTTGGGTCCTTGCCCCCGGATTTGGCCAGCAAGTTGCTCTCGTGGAAGCTGAAAGCTCGCTTCCTCATCTTGGGGGAGCTCTCCATCCTCTGGAGATAGGCCTCGTTGTAGGTGGAGGCTCTTCTGCGCTGCTTCCAGGGTGTGGGAGAATCCGTGTCCTGGGGCAAGCTGGCCCTCGATCCTGTCTCGCTGCTGGCCAGGCTCTCCCTTTCCCCGACTCTGGAACACAACAATGAATCCTAAATTTTAATGACCAAAAGTGGGCGAGAACTCTACTCGAGTCTGGAGGACACTCCCGAGACTCCTTCAATTTCTGCACCCACACCAGACACAAAAGCTCCCTCCTAGGAGAGCCAAGATCACACTGGGAACTTATTGGGTTGCTCTGAGTGCCGGAATATCCCCGACAAATTGAAAAAGCTTCTGCTTCACAGAACAAATAAAACAGACGAGAGCAAGGCGAGTGCTCTGCAAATAACAAATCAAAAGCCAACCTACAGTTCTACTTTTTTAGTATTTTTTTTTTTTCCGCATTCCAGCTTTGGGATGAAGATAAACCTGCTGATGTTCGTCCGTCCAATTCATTCCAGTCAATGGGGTTTAGTTTTTGATATGGGCCTTTGTTTTATTTAATTCAGACATTTTGAAGCGAGATACTTTTTCACTGGCCTAGATTTTCAAGAATATTAAACTTAAATTGAAAAATTTTCAAAGTTATTTTAATTTTTACGCTGAAGAAATTTATTTTAATATTTCAAATTTATTAAAAATTTTTTTATAAAAATAGTTGGATTTATAATTGTAATAAAATTTTAAAAATAATTATTTTCTCTAATCCAAAAAGGAAAAAAATATTTGCTCACATGAATAGACATATATTTTAACTATACATCAAAGGATATTTGATCCAAAACCGGTACGGGGTCATCACTGCGGTAAGCTCACTGGGATGTAAACTACAAGCGTCTTTAGTTGATGCCGAGTAAGTTTGAAGTCTGATGTGTAGTCTATACACTAGAGAGCTTTTCACTGTTGTCTGGGTGTACGTTGAATCTTGATCCTTATTTGTGTGTCGGTGTGTGTACAGTTAACAACCAAAAACCTTTTCATATTAGCAAGTTGGCTTTGGATTAAGGCCCTTAAACACGATAGGATGGATCGTTATGTCGTCATCCATCCAGTCCTTGTGCTCTGATATCATGCCGAGCTAGATCGTCAAAGTACTAGATCGTCGCAAGAGTCATGAGGCTTAAACGCGCTCTTTATGCTCGAGCCTTTCTCACTTTGGAACTCTCAAGTCTTATCACGCTGTGTTTGCTATCAACTATAAGGTATATTATATATTACATATATTATACATGTGGGTGGAAGATGACTATCCTCGACTATCCTCGCGGGGTTGAACAAGGTCGAAGGTTTAGGTGTAGGCAAACTACGTGGCACAGTTCCCGCAATTTCATACCGGCGATCCATTTTCCTATTCCAGGTCGGCCTGTCTATGTCTAGTCGCACCAAAAGCAGACTAAGACACATTGCAAGATATTAATGATCGTTGGGAGAGAACCGCCGGAAGGAACCTGGCATTCACAGTTCTCGTTAATGGAACGTTCATCTTCCTCCCGGAAATCAAAATCATGTCTTCGATTATTTTTTTTTTTATTTTTTATTTCTTTTGCGTTGTTTCGTTCGTACCAAGATTATCCGGGCTTTGTCTTCTTTCCAGCTGCGAAATGTTTTCCAAAACTTTTTAATGCAATGCCACTCAACTTTTAATGAGTTGGAGTTTAATATTTTATTTATCATTCAGCTTTTTTTTTTATACGATTATAGAAGAATTTATTAACTTGATTTGATCAATTTATTTTATTGGAAATTTTTTATGCTCATTTAGAAATAATAATAATAATAGTGATAAAATTTTTTTATTATGATTTTCTAATAGAGGAATAAATTCTCTTTAAAATGACTACCCACAAGCCTATATTAAAAAATTATTAAACATGTTCTATCATATATGTGAGATAGTACATATGTAACATATGTGATATATGACGTAGGTTTCACATATGGTTAAAAATGCTTGTGAGTACTCATTTTTTAGGAAATTTTCCGTAGAATCAGAAAAAAAATATCATATAATAATAATAATAATAATAATAATTTTTTTGGTAAAAATTATAAAAAAATAATTTTAGAATAAATTATTGAAAACATTAATTTTTTCACACCTGACTATAAGTGACCTCTTAAAAAAAAAAAAAAAAAAAATACTTTTACAACTTTGACACATGTAAAATTTTTTCATTTAAATTTAATGTTCTGTTTTATCAAAATCTCGATCTAGAATCAGTAGCACGCGAATTCCGGGTATTTGCGCGGCCTATTCAGTAGCTCGTAATTTGAAAACTAGTATCAACTTTAGGCGGTTAGTTGCATATAATACGAGCCTGAGAGATTTAACAACAAATATACATAGCAAGTACGTCGAAGATCGGTACCAAAATTCTAGTGAAAGTAGATTATGTAAATGAAGTACCCAAAGTTGCTTCCAACTTGAAGAGCTTTCATACACGTTAAAAGCCATTTACTTAAACGACCGCTGAGCGGTTCTCATCTTCATCGGAACCCTTTACGGAATTTAAACTTTAAATAATGTGTGTTCTTGCAAGCGAACCTCTTTCTATGGACACTCTACTCTCTTATATTATTGTATGTACGGTCAGCTTCCTCTGGCTCTAAAACTTAACTGAGGACGTAGTTACACTAGTGTAATCTTTAATGCGCCCGTAAGCTCTTCGTAAATTCTCAAATAGCTCTGGATCGCTTTTATTTATTTAAAATTGAGCTTTTATACTCTTCAAATATTTATTTTTAATTAATATATTATTTTAACTTTTAAGTTTCATTATTTTTATTTGCAAACTTCCAATAAAAAATTTTAATTAGTATTTTTTTTTTTAATTAATCAAATCAATTATTGGCGAAAAAAATTCAAGGCTTTTTTGATTAAAAAAAAATGGTTCTGTAAGGGATTTTTATTTGTACTTTATTTAACTTGACTTTAGATTTTCTTATCAAAGTTAATACTATTGAGTAAAAGATATTGAATAGAATGTGATCCAGTTTCTTTGAAGCGATTGAATCTTTTAAAAGTTTAATCTCTTCTTTTTGTGTTGTTATTTTATCTTAGAGTTCCCTGGCGATTCCAAAACTTTTGTTCTCGATTCTGGTATTAAAGTGTCATAGTCAGCTGGAGTAAATGCCTGATAATACTTGTATAAATGTCATTCTAGTGATAAAAAAAAAATCTAAAATCAGCGAGCCAGGACTCAAAGACAGAGACAGAAGGATTGTGTCAGTAAAAGTACTAGCAGAAGGTTTTTATCTATAAACACCTAGCTAGATGAATACCGACTGTCATTCGACGGAGCTTCTATTTCAACTTGAGATTAAATCTCGAGTTTAGTTTTAAGAGACGAAAAAAAAAGCTAAAACGTGGACGTATAACACCAGAAGGCGCAACATCGATCTCTGGTTGATGAAATAGTAAACTCGTAATTTTCTAGTCGCTGGATTTCACTTCACCGACTTCTTCTATTTATCTTACTCTAACTCTTCCTCTGCCGCTACGGAAAAAGAGTTATAAAAATAGTTACCTCGGAGGATAATTTATTTTACTTTGGACAGTTTTGTAATTTAAATTTTTACGCTTAAAGATACGCTGTGATCAATATTTATCAAACTACTCTATTATTCTCTATCTGTTTATAACAATCGATAGTTTTATTTCTGGGTTAGAAATTATTTTTTTTTTTTTTTTTTTTCATTTAATTACTGATTAATTTTTTTAAGAAGTTTATTTGATAAATTTTTTCAGGTTTTAATTTATAAATTTGATTTTTTAAATTATTAATTTAAAAAAAATTTTTTTCAATTAACTTTTTTAAAAAATGCATAAATTAAATTTTTATTCCCTCAAAAATATTCTAATTAAATTTTAAAAATTTGTTTAAGATATTTATTAATAAAAAAAAAATTATTATAATAATCTTGATGAATTTTTAATAAAATTATTAATTAAAATAAATTTTTAATCAACCAATTAAAATGAAATAATCAATAAAATAAATAAAGTTAAATACTTTTTCAATTTAAAAAGTCTTCCCGTCAAGTTTCTTTTAAATTTCCCGAGTGCTAAGACTATTTCTTATTTTTTTTTTTTGTAAAAATATAATTAAAGTTTAGATTCAAGAATTCCAGTCAATCTAAGAAATTTTTACCACTCGAGTATTCTCAGCAAAAAAAAGTTGTATAAAAAAAAATCTTACCCATTGCGAAAGCGATTGCGATCCAGCGAAATTTGCTGGTGCTGATGTGAAGTAGAAGGAGCAACAATGGGAGTCTGGTCACCGGCAAAGTGGCCCATCCCCTCGAGGCCCTTTGACAGCTTGAGCATTTCAGCGCCAAAAGCTTGGAGAGCCAATACCGCGGACGGGGGCGGTTTACTCTCGGGCATCCACAGCTCCTGAGTGTCTAAAGTAGTCGGTTCGGTGTCTGTGGAGGCCGCCGATGTGTGCTGTGGTGTCCCACTACTTCCTGCACTTCCTGTGCTCGCTGGCAAGGGTCTCCAAGTCCCGTGTCTGTCAAAACCTGAAAGTCATCATTACATCCATTAATTAACCGCCAGCCACCCAATTTAAATTTATAAACTTTGATCTTAAAACAATCTACAGCAAAAATTATAAATGTTATTTAGAATATTCAATTTTAACTTTAAATAACTTTTGAAAAATTAAATTTATCGAAAAATCATAAGAGACCTTTTTTATAGAGCGTTTACCTATAAAAAATATACATACCTATAAACACTTTCCGGTAGGTTGCTTGTAGAACGAGATAGATAATTCCAAAGTTTGACATTATTATTTCTCATCATATAAGAATTAAAAAATTTTTCGATTTTTTTGATACACTCTAATATATATTTATATATAATGAGTGATGTATTTTTTCGGTGAACGGGCGTGCCGGGAAATAAAATGCAAGCTTCACGTACACGCGAGATAACGAATTGGGGCGTAACTGCTGGTTTATCCCCATCACCATCCCCGACCTCTTTTCCTGACCAGTCGATTTTAGCAGAGTTACTTAGACCCTAGCCTTAATCTTGCTCTTACTCTTTACTTAGACTACAGGCTATGCAGTTGGATTTGTAGCACAAAGTGACGTGCTTTTTAAGTTTAAACCAGTCATGCTTTTTACCTTACTCTTACTTTACTCAACTTCAGCCTTACTTGCGGCAAATTACTAGATATTAATCTCGATTTTTACTTTATTTCTTTTATTAAACCATTAGGAGCTGACTAGGTCACTCGGTTCAGATTTTAAGAAACTAAAACTCTTGGCATTTGATTAAGATTTCGTTAGGTTTTACGCTTTATTTTTTTTTCTTCTTTAAATTATAAAAAAATAATTTAATGATGCTCGTGAATTAAACATTTTATACGGAGCTTTTGTAATTATAATTATGAGTATTTTTACAAAAGTCTGGCTTTAAGAGCTAAATTAATTTTATTTAATTTGTGAGGACATACACTTTTAATTTTACTATTTAAGTGAACTTTATTAAAAAATTTCATTACTATTATTATTGTTCTGTGATATATTTTTTTTTTAATTCTACTGAAAATTTCCTAATAAATGAGTACCCACAAGCATTTTTACCATATGTGAAGCCTGGGTCATATATCACATATGTAACATCCGTACTTATCTCACATATGATGATAGATTTTTGATAATAATTTTTCAATATAGACTTGTGGGTAGTCATTTTAAAGAGAATTTCATCCTCTATTAGAAATACATAATAAAAAATTTTTATTATTATCATTATTAAGTATAGTCCATATAATCTTTCAAATGAACTCTAGACATCCTCAAAATACCTTTAAGAGGACTCAGTTATAATAAAAATCCCCATTACTTTCAGAACAGCGGCACCTGAAAAGACCCAACGAAGAATCGAGACAGATCTAATAAAAATGTCGTTACCTCTCGAGCCATTCCTATGAATTGGAAATACTTATATTATTATTATGGCACATCGAACTGGTAAACAGAACCCGGGTATTTAAATTTTATTTGTTTGCGGGACTATGTATATATATTTATACGATGTCTGAAATACTTGGGATATTATTGGTAATACCGACTGCTGACTAGACTAACTTTATCAACTTAAACTGTTAACCGAACCAATGTCACGATTGTGGGTGTAATCCTGAAAGGATGTTCTCAGACGTTATGTTATAATTCGATTATCAATGTCGATAATTTTGTTTATTTCTTTATTTATATTTGCTCTATTTTTATTTTATTACTTTTACTTTTATTGCAGGCTTCAAAATATTTATTAAATTTATTTTGTTGCTGATTGAACTATTTTTTATTTAGCAATAACAAATAGGGCAGTAAACATTTTATTGTTGTTTTGCGCTTTTATGACTTCTTCAAGTCATAAAAATTATTTTTATTTTCAAGTCATGCTATGAGCTTAAAAATTTATTATTGTTATTATTAAATAAAAAAAATTTAGAAATAAATGAAATTTTTAGAAAATTTATACGGCCTAGGGCTTATGGAAATATGAAAATAAATTTGCGAGCCAAACTTTTGAGTTTAAATTTGCGGCAAAGTATGGACTGACACTACCCAGCAGAGAGAATAGTCGACGAAAAGTTTAGACGGTTATTTGATAAGATCGAGGAATGAGTAGAGCGAATTTATAATTATAAGTAAATGACTCAAACTCGGACTGAAGTTATCGAGATTTTTTTTTGGGTATAGTAATAGTAACAGTAATGATTATAATTTTAGTAGTAATAAACTTTAAGCAGACGCGGATAATTGGATGAGGCTCGAGAGTATCGATTTTATGGAACATTCTTATTTGAACGCGGCCGAGTGCTCTGAATAATTAATAAAAAAAAATAGTTGAGTAGATGCCGGGTTTGAACTAGTTCCTGGACTAGTTAGTTTATGGAAACATAAATAATATTTAATGACTAATAAAGGGGGACGCAGGAGGATTTCCCTGACCGTATACGTGTGCCATTTACTACTGGCTCCGTTCTCTGGCTTTTACCACTCTTATTTGTTCGTGGTATACTATATTTTATATTACACACTGTGGTTCTAAAAAAACTTTATTTATAAAGATTTCACTTAATTACTTTTTTTTATTGCTTTAATTTTATTAAAGATATATACTTATTTTTTTTCATCTTTTAATTAAAACTTTGCTTTATTAAATAATGATTTTTGTTAAATTGCACAGTACTTTCTTAAATATTGACATTTTTAAAGATATAAGCTCATCCCGATACTATACTAATCAAGAGCTTTCATTTGAGTACCCACATGCATTTTGATATATTTTTTATATATACATATATACAATATATATAAATATATGAAAAATTGATGTGGGTACTCAAATGAAAGGTCTCAATGAGTGTAATGTCGGGGTGAACTTATATCTTTAAAAATTTCAATATTTCACAAGATACAAGGTCATTTTATTAATTAATATTTTTTTTATAAATTCTTAACAAAAATTTATCCATAAAAAAATATTTATCAAAAATATATATGTTAAAATAATAATAATAATAATAATAATAATAATAATAATAATAATAATAATAATAATAATAATAATAAATCACCTGGTGTCCCACCAATATTCTGACGTTGTTCAGCCAAGAGTCGAACCGTCAGAGCGTACGTGAGTAGCATAACGCCTAGTGGGATGTAAAAGCAGATTATACTGCCGATCAACTTGTAAAGCGGGTCTGGGATTTGGCAGGCACCATCTACGAGTACTGAAGCATCATCCTTTAATAATAAAATACAATACATCATTAGTTTATTATCATAATCTCATCCTTTGTAAATAAATCAACAAACGATTATAAATAAAATGAATTTATAAATTTAATTTATGATAAAATGTTTCAGAACACCAGAACAGTGTCCCAGCGTAGTCTCGCTTTTGGCAGAAAGCTACAACCCCCATGTAAGATATGGAGCGGCAATGGCGTTGGGAATAGCGTGTGCGGGTACGGGACTCAAAGAAGCTATTGCATTGCTGGATCCTATGACCAACGATCCAGTAAACTTTGTACGTCAGGGAGCCCTGATAGCTTCCGCAATGATTCTCATCCAGCAAACGGAAGCGACCTGTCCTCGCGTCAAAGATTTCCGGGCGCTTTACGCCAAAGTCGTCGTCGACAAACACGAAGACGTGATGGCTAAGTTCGGCGCGATCTTGGCTCAAGGAATCATCGATGCAGGTAATGCGCAGCTTAAAACTTTCAACTATCGAGATTGAGTTTTGTCTTGTAAACTAAACTTTTAATTAACTCGCCCGAGTTAATATTATTTTTTTAAATATTATATATTTATAAAAATTGATATTTTTTGGTGACATTTTAAAAAAATTACCAACAGATAATTTTGATAGATAAAAAAAAACTTTTTAATTCTACTTAAATAATTTAAATTGACAGTATGAATTTATTTTTAAATAATAATCTATATTATTAAGAAAATAAGAAAAATTTTGTTTACAGGATAGGCTGCATCCGAAAATGCTCTATCTCTAGATACATAATTAAGAAATGACCTTGTATCTTGTGAAATATTGACATTTTTAAAGGTATAAGCTCACTCCGATTTTTTGGTTTGAAAAATGTTATTTATTTTGATTGTTAGTCTTTTTACATAATTAAGTAACAAATACCTTATAAAACTTATTCACTAATTTTTGAATTTAAATATTTTAGTAGTCTTCAAATGAAGGGTCTCTCTAAAAAACAATTATATTAAAAATATTATAAACTTGAAAATTCCTGTTATACAGTGACTATTATTTAAATAAGTAAATATGTGATGGAAAAAAAAAAGTTAAAAAATAATAAAAACCATCAAAACAGTATCGGGCCTGAGAGGCCGGTAGTGGAAGGGGAAGAGGGAGGGAAAAGGAATGGGAAAGGAGGGTTAAGCTCACTCCGACATTACACTCATCAAGACCTTTCATATTTTATATATATGTATATATGAAAAAATATATCAAAATGCATGTGGGTACTCAAATGAAAGCTCTTGATGAGTGTAACATCGGGATGAGCTTATATCTTTAAAAACGTCAATATTTAAGAAAGTACAGTGCAATTTAATAAAAGTCATTATTGAATAAAGCAAAATTTTAATTTTTATAGTTCACACGTCACAGCAAGGTTGATAGTAATTATTGTTATTAATACTAATATTAACATAATTTTATCAATTTCAGGTGGACGTAATGTTACCGTGTCATTGCAGTCACGTACGGGTCACACAAACATGCTGGCGGTGGTCGGTACGTTGGTATTCACCCAATACTGGTACTGGTTCCCATTGACCCACGCATTAGCGCTGGCATTCACACCGACCTGTGTAATCGGGCTAAATGCTCAATTGAAAATGCCGAAGTTCGAAATCCGGTCAAACGCGAGACCGAGTGTCTATGCTTACCCCGCGCCGCTGGAAGAGAAGAAACGCGAAGAGCGCGAGAAAGTTCAAACCGCGGTTTTGAGTATCGCGGCCCGAGCGAGACGCCGCGAGTCTGAGCGTCGCGCTCGTCACTCCCACGAGATGATGGAGGTGGTAAGTAGAGGATAAAAAATTTCTTAAGCTCCAGGTAATCCCTTTGAATAAATAAAATTCGGTTTTTGTTTAAAGGATCCACCGGTCGTTGAGTCCAAAGAAGCTGACTCGAAAGATACGCCCTCCACTTCAACATCTGCGTCTTCCTCGGCTGTCACGCTCAAAGACGATAAGAAAAAAGAGAAAGATGAGAAGGAGAAGGACAAGGACAAGAAGGATGACAAAGATAAAGACCCCAAGGATGCTAAAAAAGCTAAGGATGATGAGAAAAAAGAACCCGAGCCGAGTTTCGAAATTCTGCAAAACCCCGCTCGTATTTTGCGTCAGCAGCTAAAGGTCATACAGCTGGTTGAGGGTAGCCAGTATGCTCCTGTTAAAGATATTCAAATTGGCGGTATTGTTATGCTCAAACACATCAAGCCCGAGTCTGAAGAAGAATTGGTTGAACCTGTCGCTGGTGAGTCTATTTATTTTTTTTTTTATTTTTTAGAATTTATTACCAAAATTCAATTTTGGTAATTTTTTTGTTTTATGGTCAAAAATAATTTCTTTTAACAACTATAAATTTTTTATTTTAAATTCTAAAAAAATAAAATAATTATAAGAATAAAAAATTTTTTTAAAAGTGAATTAATTGATGAAAAAAAATTTTTTTGAAAAAATAATTGAAATGTCGATTTTTCTTTTTATTAAAAAAAAAAAAAAAACAAAAAAAAAAAAAAAAAAAAAAAAAAAAACGCCATGAAATTGAAAAATTACCAACGTAAAATTTTTTTTAATTAATTGGAAAAAAAATTTAGTATTAATTTAAACGTAAAAAAGAAAATTGATACTATAACTCCTTGACTGACTCTGAGTTTTTAAATTGGACCATAAAGATTAAATTTTAGTACGATACTACTTATAGTAAATTTGAAAATAGTCGATTTTTTCTTATTTTTAAAAAAAAATTCAAAAAAAAAAAAAAAAAAAAAAAAAAAAAAAAAAAAAAAAACGCCATGAAATTGAAAAATTACCAACGTAAAATTTTTTTTAATTAATTGGAAAAAAAATTTAGTATTAATTTAAACGTAAAAAAGAAAATTGATACTATAACTCCTTGACTGACTCTGAGTTTTTAAATTGGACCATAAAGATTAAATTTTAGTACGATACTACTTATAGTGTCTTGTTACAAGAAAAATATTTTATTTCATTGCCACGACTGAAAAACAGTAATTTAAAAATTTTTCCGTTTATTTTTTATGAGCACGGAAAAAATTATGACTTAGAAAAAATAATGACAATTTCATTTATTTATTTTTATTGTTACTATTGAAAATACAAGTAATTTATAATATTAATAATAATTAATGTGGTCAGCATTTGGACCAAAACCAGACGAGGAAAAGGAAGCTGATCCACCAGAGCCATTTGAGTACACCGAAGACTAAAAAAATCTTGAGTAATTAAAGGGTCTCTGATATTCGCATAAATATATGTAATCAATGATTCGAATGGAAAAAAAAATTATTGCTTTTATTTCTACATCTAATTAAATTAATATTACTCTAATTATTATTTAAAATGAAATGGTAATTGTAACTTTTTTTAAAATGAGTTAATGTGGAATAAACACATTTATCGAACCGCAACCTAATCCTGAATAATTAAATCCTGTAATTATATTTTATTATATTACTGAAACAGTGAATTAATAAATCTCGGCAGCAGTCTTACGAGAATTTATTATTAAATGAAACACAGGTGATTAATTGGCCATGCGATGAACTTGATTTTAATGATTTATCGCGCGTCTATTATCTATTTAATTAATTCGTGCAGAGGGTATTAAAAATATTTTATTTTAAATGGAAATAGTATGTCATTTAAATTCAAATTTAGGAATTAAACTAGAGGGTAGAAAATTACCTGAGAGTACATGAGACTAAGTGGAAGACTCATAGCGATACTGAGAATCCAAACGAAGACTATTTTCAAGACTACACGTTTGCGTGTTTTATTACGGCCAAATTTCATTGGGTAACGGAGACTCAGGTAACGATCCACGCTTATTGTACACAAGTGCATTATACTCGCTGTGCAAAACAGAACGTCCAGGCATATCCACGCCAGGCACCAAATTGGGGATAATGGAAAGTATCCTGCAACAATACAATTATATGTTTGTTATAATTTTTTTTTTCATATTTATATAATTAAAAATAATAAATTTTTAATTTATATATAATGATATATTAATAATAATAATAATAATTATTATTATTATATATTAATAATAAATGAAAATTTAATAATAAAATAATTTTTAAAAAATTCTTTTTAAGAAATTTCAATTATTTTTTATAAAAATTTGAAAATTTTTTAATTTTATTAAACTTTAAATAAAAATTAATTTATATAATAATAATAATAATAATAATAATAATAGTAAGAAAAATACGCTATTCAGTATTGTATGACAACAAAAAAGTTTTCCGCAACAATGAATAAACATAAAAAAACTAGAGATAATAGAATTAATTTAGCAAACGACACAAAATACACATGACAATTAGACAATAGAATTACGGCAATTGTCCTCCGTATCAACAATATAACTTTTCCAGTAACTTAGATTTATGAATAAAAACATTCGCTTTACATTCAGCATTTTGTACCTGGTATTGTTTTTCAGTAATTTCTAGTTGTTTATTTTTACAAAGCCGAGTCTTGCTGGAAGCAATGTATGAGCGAAAGCTGATAGAAATGCGGATATCAAATTACTCTGTTTTGCTGGCACGATATGTACGTTTGTGCGATAGATCTGAATTCTATATATGTAGATAGATATAACCCCACTGTATCCACTATTTTTTATTATATGGCAAAATAAAAATATGAATGAAAAAAAATAAAAAAAGGTAATCGACACATCTACCTTTGTGTTTCCCGGCGGGATCAATGAATTTTGCTTTACGCTAGAGTACTATTAAGAAGAATCTGTTTTTCGTTTATTACTATCCAATAATATTAAATTTATTATTATTATTATTATTATTACTAGCAACCTTGCAGTTACTGGATGACTGCCGTGACTTGTAAACTATAAATAAATAAAATTTTGCTTTATTAAATAATGACTTTTGTTAAATTATACTGTACTTTTTTAACTATTAACGTTTTTAAAGATATAAGCTCATCCCGATGTTACACTCATCAAGAGCTTTCATTTGAATACCCACATGCATTTTGATATATTTTTCATATATAATATATATATATATATATGTGTGTGTGTGTGTGTTTTATTTGCATAACTTTACAAAGTTTTATACAAAGGTTTTTTTACGACTATATAAATATTTGAATATTAGATAGATATTTAAAGATATTTATATATAAATATATAAAATATATGAAAAATTGATATGCGTACTTAAATGAAAGGTCTTGATGAGTGTAATATCGGGATGAGCTTATATTGTCATAAATTGACACTGGCCACAAAATTTTGTTTATTCTCTTAATAATATAGATTATTATTATTATTATTATTATTTAAGGATTTATTATTTGAATATTAAATAATACAAATAAATTTTAATTAAATTAGAAAAAAAAAATTAACCATCAGATTGTGAAATTATGCGGGTATAGTAATAAGCAAATTTACACAGAATACTTTTAAAAAAAATTCCTCTATTCTATTAAATCGATTTTAATTAAAATAAAATAGGGGTTAGTTCAATGACTTTTAAATATTAAACTGCGGCTTTATTGACTTTAATTTATCAAGAAATTAAAATGCGCGATTTATGAATTACCACTAATTGATTATGTCTTGTGTCTAACCACAAGTCTATGTAGATACATACAAATATATATACATCTATATGTAAATTTCCACCCTATTAACAAGATGTCACATATGAATAGATAGTGGTTGCGGTCATATGTGTACGCAGACATATACCAACGTATTATCTGTATTTAAATTGCATTACAAATTTATTACTAATAATCCAGTAGTAAATTATTTTCAAAGTAAATTTAAATTTAAGTTACAGTTTAATTTAGTACCCAAAATTGTAAATTTGATACTTGCTCAAAAGTTTATTCCACTTGTGGTGACTTTGTTTAAAAAAAAAAAAAAATACTGCTTTACCAGAAATGATTTTCTAAATATAATTTAAATAATAATCAACAAGTTGATTTGAAGCCCGGTCAGCAATTACTCGCTGGAATAATTTAAATTAAAGGACTATTGTTCCCTTGAGCGGTGACAAAAGAGTAAAATGAGCTCTCGATTTAATGGGTCAAAAATAAAGGAGTTAAGATAAAGATAAAGATGTCGGAGATTAATGTACAAGAATGTATTTTGAGCTTAATTAATTTAAAAGCTCCATTAAGGGTATTAATTAATAAAATTTAAAGTGACTATTAAACTGGGCATTTAACAACCCCGAGATAATTTTGTAATTCTGAATTACTTAAAGTTTCAACTATCACTCTCCCAGTGATTTATTCTCATCCTTTTTTTTTTTTTTTTTTTAACTCGCGACTTTTGTAGTTCACAGGGTCTATTAGTACATTTACACTTTAATCAACTTTATTTTCTCCGGTTTAATAAACTACTGTCACTTTTTTTCACAATTATTAAAACTCAAAACGATTAACGGTCGTTTTAATTTAGTTGTAATTATTATAACCCAGCACCAAGTGGATGTGATTACAAATATATATAGTACAAAAACCAGAGTAATTAATTTCGCTACGGAGATTAGTATCTAATGGAAAATACGCCCTGAGCACTTGATATATTTTTTTAATAAAATGAAAATTTAATTTTTTTAGTTATTACTGAAAATTATTAATAATAATACTTTTCAAAAATAAACTGTGAATTAATATTAATAAACATTAAATAATGAAAATAAATGATAAATATTAATGACAAAATTTATACAATTGAATAATAACAAATAATTTACGCGATTGAATAACAAAGACATAAATATCCATATTTATATGCATAAATTTGGATAATAAATAACAATGAAGGGGATATGAGCTTGAATATATTCTACATTGAAATGTCTTTATTTCTATGAGCAAAAATAATAATAATAATTTTTTACATTTATCACCTGAAATTCCTACTTTGAAGTAATAGAAGCGCGTCGCTTACGCGGAATTGAAATTTGGTGGCTTTCTCGACAAAATTCAAACGACATGCGGCTCATGCACATGAAAGTACAATATGAGCTCAAGGGTTAAGGTTACGCTGTTATGAATTTAATTAATTAATTCTCTTAACAACTAATTTTTTTTCATTCCAGTCAATTTTTTTTGGGTGCAATTTTTTGATATAATAATTTTTATAATAAAGTAATTTAATACCAAACTAGCAACCTTACGGTCACTATGTGACTGACGTGACTTGTGGACTATAAATAAATGAAATTTTGCTTTATTAAATAATGACTTTTGTTAAATTGCACGGTATTTTCTTAACTATGGACTTTTTTAAAGATATAAGGACATCCCGGTGTTACACTCATCAAGAGCTTTCATTTGAGTACCCACATGCATTTTTTATATATTTTTCATATATACATTAGGGTGGCGCAAAAAAACCGACTATTTTTTTTTTTTTTTGAGTCTCGAGTGAAAAAATGTTAGTTTTTGATGTTTTAAGAGCCCTCACCAAAGGACAGCTCAAAAAAAAATTTTTAAGAGGTCACTCGAAATTTTTCAAAATTTAAAAAAATCGTCAAAAAATCGAATTTTTTTTTTTAATTTTTTTTCTCGTTACGGTATAATTTTATAGACCAAAAAAAAA